CGAAAATCTCTCCTATTAATGTCAAAAGCCAGTAAGGGGACATTTGTCACACCCTGTGACTCAGCCCTCACGGTCTGAGTTCTTCACCTTCAGGTGAGGTGCAAGGGACCTCAAGGCACCTCATCACCCTCAGAGGATCCTCCCCTTTCTAACTCACTAGTGCCCACGGATTGCAAGGAGTTTCCAGCGTCATTGCAGGGGCCCTGCTGGCAGCAGGAAGGGCCCAGGAGGCTTAGTTATTCGCAGAAGTGAGTGAGGCAGCAGACATGGGGTCTCTGAATTGAAGCTCTTTGTTCAGAGCCCTGCCTTTCCCCCCCCAGTCCACCAGCCCACATGTGCCTCTCCGCCACCTCGCCGATGGGCAAAGCCCTGAGTCTGTCTCCCAGGCTCCTGCGGGGTCCACCATCCCTCTCCCCACTTCTGTCTGGACCACATCGCATTGCACTGGAAACATGAAATTCTCTTTATGGAGCTGAATCCCCATCTCCTGCCCTCTCCCCTCTACTCCCCCAACAGGGGCGGCCTGTGGGAAGACAGCTATGCCCAGACAGAGCTTTCTGGCCTTCCTCCGTGGGAAGCGCAACCCAGGGCCTGGAAGTCTGCATCCTAGGTGGGTTTTCTACAAGGGTCCTGTGTCGACACAGGTGGACCCTGTTTGTGCTAATTCTCCTCTTTCCCCCGTCCCTTCTGTAGCCACAAGAGAACTCCGCGTCCACTCCTCGTAAATCTCTCTTGCACACCACATCCCGCCTCTCCAAACCAGGGATTCCCCACCCCAGGCAGCGCCGGTTTTGTAATATTCTCCTTCCTGAGGCCTCTGATGTGGCAGTAAAATATGAGACCACCCACTGAGATGGAAGCTTTGTGGAATCAAGAGCTCCCCCACCCCCTTCCTAGGCCAAGGACTTTGCTGATTGGCCCTGATGTTCAGGGAGCTCTTTAGGAGAATAAACATATTCCGGGGCATTAGGAAGAGGTCTCCATTAGGAAGCCAGGGCAGGGGAAGGGGGACCTCCATTTTGCCTGAGGTCAAACAGTCGTGCAATTACCAGGCAGCAACCCCCGCCCCCAAGGCATCTAGAATTCCAGACCATCCTTACCCTTGCTGCTGCCAGACAGGACTGTTGAGAGGCAGCTCCAGCCTGAATGAGCCCCCGGCAAGGAGGCAGCAGTCTGTGTGGCCTGTCAGGAGACAGACTTCTGACTCCAGGCCAGGCAGGGGGATGGACCGCCTGGCCTTCAGTGTTAGCCTGAGCCCCTCTGCCAGACCCTGCAGTAAACATTCCAGAGATGGGCAAAACTAGTGTTTCTCCTGGGAAGGTGAGACCACGTGAAGGTCAGAGCTGCTTGGGTGGTACTGCCGTCACGCCCAGTGCACTGGGCTCCAGGTTAGCACCGCGTCCTGGCCTGCCAGCTGCGCAGGTTAGAAGCTGGACAATGACCGCGCGTCTCAATCGGGGTGGCTCTGCACCTGCGGTACAGCCATGGGCCAGTAGATGGCAGCAAAGCATCTCGAGGGTAGCCTGCTCTGTGGCCCATCCCTGGAGGACATTACTCAGCCAGCAAACATTTGTTACACATGTGCCCTGTGCGCTGGCACTTGGTGCCGGATCCTGGGATGCAGTGAGTGTGGAGATGCAGTCTCGGGTTTCCAGGAGCTCATAGACGGGGTGCGTGGGGACAGGGGACAGACTCCGTGTAGCGACAACACGGAGTATGTGTTAGGGTGGGTGTGAGTACAGCAGAGTCCACAGGAGGGGCGCAGCCCCAGGGAGGTGCCTTCAAGGAAAACTGAGTGTGTAGGTGAGGTTCTGGAACATGACAAAGAGGCAGCAGGCAAGGAAGGGCAGGGAGCCATCCTAAGCAGAGAGAACAGACTTTGCAATGGCCCAGAGACCAAAAGGGGCAGAGGACCCAGAAATCTGTCCTGAATCCTTGACGTCTTAAAGGAGAATGCCTCACTCACTGTGAGATAGATACTATTCTTGACCTTGCTTCCAAGATATGGAAACTGAGGCCCTCGGAGGCTGAATGAGTTACCCAAGTTTGCTGGATGAGTAAGCAGGAGAGCTGAGCTTTCCTGCAGGCGGTCCAGCTGAGTCCACGCCACTCTCCTGCCTGTTGTGTAGAGGATCAAGCAAATTTCTCACCACAACTTTGGCTGGTATCTTCACTCAACAAAAATAAGATCTTAAGGGGTTGGGTACCTCAATTTAGAACACATGGTGAGTGAGTAGCAGTCCTAAGATTTTACCCAAGGCTGTGTGATTCCAGATCCATGCCTTTTCCAGGAGAGCCATGCTCGCACTCAGTTACCTTGCTGGGATGTCTCAGGCCAACCCAGGACTTAACCCCCAGCAAGTGGGACACACATCCTAAGCCCAGCTCTCACCTTTATAAGATGAAACCCCTCCTGTCAGCATGGAAGGGCCCTGCACCAAAATCCTGCTAATTGCACCATTTTATTATGCATTGGTTACCCAGAACTCTGTATTTCCCTGCTCAAAGGGAACCAGGCCAATTCCAGGGTCTGTGTAGGCCAATTCCCTGACCCATCCTTCACCCTGGCAAAGGGACAACTGGCAGTGGGGCTGTGGGTAAGGAGAGGAGGCTTGGCCACATGGGCTGGGCACTATACGCCTGCACTAGAAACCCCAGTAATGTAGGACAGAGAGGGCCTGGGAAGACAATAAGAGCCACAAGCTGGCAATACTCATTTGCCATGTTCTTGGGTAAAACTCCAAGAATCCAAGAAGTCTAAATTCTACCCTTCCAGGCCACTATGAGCTTGTTTGTGTCAAGAAAGTAGGATGGAGGGGTGCTAGTTGAATGGTGGCTACCGTTCTCAATTTCAAATGTTAGCATATGATGTGTAGGCCTCCATTTACTCCTTGCCCCAGACACTATAGATATCAGAGGTGGATTTATCCAGTGTCTGGGGTTACCAACACTACCTTTAATGGTTTGTGATAAAATCCACAAACCACATGAGAACATCCCTTTTGCATGGGGCTGGCTGACACACATTTTGTTGAAGACCATCATCCCTGGGAGAAAACACACTATCTTGCTTTCAAGTAACATAACAACTCTTGTCCCTCTAAAGTCCCTCCTGGTTGACAGCTCAACCTGTCAGTGTCACAAGATAAAGTGGTGTTAATAGTAGATATTGCTGTCATTCAGTGATTCGGGCGGTCTGGAAAGAGGTGAACTCTACCGGTGTGGGCTAAGTGCAGCAGACAGACTTTGGAAGCAGACAGACTGTAGCTTGGTGAGAGAATTTGTAGAAAGGATTCTTTCTTTCACAAGTGGAAGATTAAAAACATCGATGGCAAGATTGATGTCCCAAAGAAAAGAATAGATGGAACTATGAGGAAGATTCTTGTATGTGATACTTACTGATTGTTGATTAGAACTCAGTCACTAAGCTGAATGGAAAGTTGGAAAAAAAAAACATTTTTGGTTGCTAGTCTATAACCTCCCTTACCATGGAAAAAGAAGAAAATAGATTTTGGGAAATAAGAGTTGTTTCTCCCCAGAAAAGTTTTATGGAAATGTTTGACAGGGTACTTGGTTTACAGCAAGTGACGAAGTGTCTGGGAGAGGACATTTAAAATAGGAGTCCCCCAACATTTGCTGCTCATTTTCAGGGATGAGCAAAAAAAAAAATGCAATGTGCAATTAGAAGGCCTGGATTCTAGTCCTGTAGACAAAGTACTTCGTCAGTCTGGATTTCAGTTTTCTGTCTTTAGGATGGAAATAATCCTACCTCGGTTGGTGATTGTAAGTGAAGACTATAAATTAAAGCATATCACATAGTTTCTGGCACAAAGCACAAATGATTTTTTTTTATTTATCTGTTCATTCACCTATTAAAATATTAACTGAGCTCCTACTGTGTGTTAAGCACTCAGGTAGATGATGGGAATAGAGAGGTGAATGTGATAGATTGCTCTGTTATTGTTTAGTGGGACACAGACATTAAACACAGTTACTAGTTATAACTAAATACAGATTTAGTTATCTATATTTATATATTTAGTTATATAACAAATATGTAATTGTAATGAGTGCTATGAGAGAAAAAACAATATAAAAAATCAATCTGTATGAGATAAGAAATGAAGTAGGTCCAAAACTAGGGTGCCTATAGAGAAAAATGAACCAGTGGGTGGATTTGAGAAATAATTAGTGTAGAATCAATGAGAATAGGGAGAGAGAAAGAAGTAACAAGAGTGATATCTGTGTTTCTGCCTTGAGTAATAAGTAGATGGGATATTGTTTATTGATATTGGAAAAGCCTGAAGGGCAGGGGTGTAGAGCAAAGAGGATGGATGGGTGGATGGATGGATGGATGGATGGATGGACGGACAGACAGGTAGAAGATGGAGGATGGATGGATGATTGGATAGATGGGTGCATGTGTGGTTGATGGTCAGGTGGATGGATGGATGGATGGATGGATGGATGGATGGATGGATAATAGATGGACAGACAGATGGATGGAGGAATGGATGAACAGATAAAGGGTCAGATGAAATCAGCTTCACTGGACAAACGAACAAATAAAGAAATGAGTAGATCAATTTATGATGGAGTATTTTGAGTCTTATTAAAATAGTTGTGCATTATTTCTTTCTATAGGATTCCTTGTCTTATTTGAGCCTTAAAATGACAGAGATACATCCTGCAGGCATTTATATCTTCCTTTTACAGAGGATGAAACTGAGGCACAGGGAAGTTAAGGGACTTGATATAACCAGAATCAGAGTCTCTTGATATAACCAGAATCAGAGTCTTCAATCCTCTCATCCAGTACTATTTCACCTCACCCACACAATATGTATAAATAATGAGAAAATCGGCAGTTAGGTGGGAAGAGAGAGCAGAAAGTAGAGAAGATGTGTGGATATGATGATCTGGGAATGAAGCATTTGGAAAAGGGAGAAAAGAAAAGCCATCTGCATCTTTACTCAGTGGATTTCCTCTTCTCCTTACAGGTCCAAGTATTTCCATGGAAAAAAGGTGAATGGAGAGATTGAGATTCGAGTGGAACAGGTAAGTGGGAGCTGAGTCTCTCGCATGATTGTTCTGACCTTTTCTAAGTTGCAGCCATTCCTGGGAGCAAGCTGGTCCTTATCTTATGTGGCCAGCAGGAGACAATATTACCAGAAAACTCCTGGCTCATACCCACGTGTCTCATCAAATTCCAGAAGTATTTTGTCCAATGGTTTTCAGCCTTTTTATTTATTTTTTTTAAGCAGCAGGACCTTTCAGAGAAAAGATCAAGTAGGAGCCCATCTATAAACTAGAGTCAAGTAGAACATCTCGAGCAGGGGAGCCCTAAAGCCTGTCTCCTAAGTCCAGTCCCATCTTCCCCTCATCCTTCCATGGTCCCCATGGCATTTCCTGAGGAGCTCCTGGGCTGGGGAGCACAGCATAAGAGCATAATGAGTTTCCATCCTGGTTCTCTCATTGTCTAGATATTGGGCAAGTGGCTTAATCTTCCTGTACCTCAGTTTCCTTGCATTGTTGTTGAGATTAAATAATTTATGCTCAAAAGAGTTTAGGATCATGAAGACCAGCTCTTGTTATTATTACCATTAATACCAACACCCATACCTCTCATTTTATGGAGGGGTTACATAGGAAGCCAGTGCAAGAATTAGCTCCGGAGCTTGTGACCCTCAGATCAAGGATTCCTCCGCTGTGCATGAGGAGGGCATGTCAGAGACTGGGCTCTGGAGCCAGACTCTAGGTTCAAATCCCAATCCCTCATGTCACTAACTGTGTGACTTCGCCTGACCAATACTAAGTTCTCTGCAACTTGGTTTCTTCATCTGTACCAAGGGTAATAATAACCTCGACTTCTAGGATGGCTGTGAGGGTCAGTGAATTAATCTGTGCAAGGTAGTTAGAACAGGGTCTGGCACATAACAGTTGCTTAGTAAATGTTACCCACTTTCACTTTCATGGAAGACACTTTCATTGAAGACAAACCATAAGATCAAGATCTGCAAGGTCCTTGCGATAAAATGAATTCAGAAAAGTGCAATATGATCAAAGAGGACTGTGACTTTTTAATCTCCCAGAACTCTTTGAGTTTGGTGAGAAGGAGGAACAGAAAGTCTTTCTGAGCATCAAATTTGAGTTGGTTTAGTACGAAAACATCTACAGCTTGAATTTCAATTTGATCCTGTGGCTTTCAAGTCAGTCCAGTGTCTACTGGTTTTCCTTCCATGCAAAGAGCAGGTTATTTTTGCTCACTTAACAAATATTTGTCAAATGTCTACTATGCTGGTTAGCTAACATGTGGGGAACGAGGATATAGAGGCAAAGGCTCTGTCCCAAAATGCTTGTGGTCTAGGAAGGGAGGCAAGATATGTCTTCCCAGAAACTCAATACAGGTGGGTCCCGGAAAAAAAGGTCCAAATTTTGGTCCAAACTACTTGAGAGACTTAGAAGTGACTTGGAGGAAGGGTTGGTATTTGAAATGGATCCTACAGGATGGATAGGATTTCAACAAGTGCAGAAGAGACGTGAAGAGGATTTGAGGTCAGAGTAACATGAGCTAAAGTATGAAGACTAAAGGACAAGGTGGCGAGTGGTGGGGCCACATCATGTCTCCCCACCCCTGACGTACCTCTCCCCCCACCAAGTTCATGCTCAGGGGCTTCATGTACCTTCCAACTTAGCCAGAAGCCTGCGTGGTCTCCTGGGTGCCTCTCCCTTCCTCTACCACTGCACCCTTTCACTCACCCATTCCTCTGACTCCACATCCCACATCTCGGTCAGTTCATTCTCTCCTTCCCCATTACTGGACTCTTGGCTGCAGTTTCACTGATTTTCATCCTCTCTTCCCACTCAAAGACCTCCTTGCTCATCTCTTCAATGCTAACATTGAATTTCTGAAATATTTTAAGGTATTTTTTAAGGTATTCGATTTAAAATCCCTTCTCAAAGATTCCCCTCTGAGCCCTGATACCCAAATCTCAGCTCTCCTGGCAATTGCCTTTGATTGCTCCCCGACTTTCTACCCTTGCCCTTATCCAAATTTTTAATGATATCTTTAGGTGTGGAGGTTTTTGCAGGAGCGGGAGATCGAGGTTGTTTGGGTCTCACTTAGTTCCCTAGCACAGGGCCTGGCACACACTAGAACTGAAGCAAATATTTGCAGAATGAATAACTGATAGAATCCAAAGATTCCAGGCTTCTTGTTGGTTTCCGAGGGAGATAAATCACTGCTCCTTACTCTCCCCTCAAAAAGTCTGGGTTTTCCATAAACCATCTGGCAAATGCTTAGGTGCCAGCTTCACTTAGCTCAGCCACACCCCATTCATGAAAACAACAGAGGGGGGCCTTCATTTTGCCCTTTTATCTCATTGCTGTCCCTGGCCCAACTGATGTGTGCAAAAATCTCTGCGCAGGGAACATCGGAGGGAATTACCCTAAGAATAACTCACCCCAGTACCCTGGGAGCATAGCCCTTCTATGAGGGCTTGAAAGCATTGGCTCACTCAGAGTTGTGTTGAGTTCTAATCATCCCCTTCCATGGAGTCCAGAAGGCATGTTAGCCAGGAGACCAATTAGCAGGTAGTTTGGATGACTTGCCTTCCTAAGCCCATGTCAGAGTGAATTGTTTGCCTTTTCCCATCTGGATCAATGGGCGGAGTGCATCGGCAATCCCTCAGGAAGCTCATGTGCTTGGGGAAAAGCTGCAGGATGGAAGCCACTGTTTAGTCTGAGCTGGCCTCACATTTTGGAAGTCTGTCTCCCAACGGAGGGCCAAATTCACCAGATAATTGCACTGTCTGGGTTTTGCTGGACAGAGTGAATAAGTTAGTTGTGGTTGGCCTAGGGGAAGCCTACGCCCCTTCTCTCCACCCTCTTCCCTCCCAGTTCAAAAACTGCTTGCCTGTGTTTTTACAGAGCCAGGACTCGAGAAGCCCTGGGGAGGCCAGTGTGGGGAACAGCATCCTTTTGCTTTCCATTACCCAGAATGCCCTACTGGCTCTGCAGGGCCTCTCAGCAGGTCCTGTAGGGCCGGAGAGGTTCCAGCCAGGGTGGCTGGCACGATATGCAATCCTGTCTGCTTTTGAGGCAAAGGGTCTTTTTCTCCATGGTACGAGTCAGCCCTCGGTGGAACTAAGTGATGAGGTTGATGAAGGGATTAATACCAAGTAGACTCCCATTTCTGGTAGACTAGATGACCAGGACCAGAGGGACAGAGCCCTGGGCTTCATTCTTCTCTAATGAAAAAAGGGCTGCATTTGCCAGGGCCAGCCTTTCTGTTGTGAATGAAAGCACCAAGGCCAAAGGAAAAATGCCTTTCTGTAGCAGGGGGAGAGAAAGGCAGAGATGGTAGAGACCCTGCCCCGGGATACAGGAGGCTGGGCAAGCCATTGGTTTGGACACCATGCTGGGGGCTCCCTGGGAGTCCTGTCATGTGGCATGGCAGCCAACAGGGGTGAAGCAGATGGGAATGGATGCCAGGAGTCCTCTTCAACTTCTGCCCTTTTTGGATTCCCTCAACTTAAACATATTTTTAACGATCAGGACTGTCACATCGTATTATTTTCTCATATCCACTTCATCCTCCACCCACAAGTTGTTCTTCTCACAACCTTTCTTGCTATGCACCTGAGCTGTAGATATGGACCACAAGACCATGTGGTATTTCAAGAAATAATTGTCAACAAGATAAGAGAAATGGAAGGTGGTTGCATGATTCAGTTTGGTGTATTGGTTACAGGTTGAACATGACCTCCACTAGGAAATGATTACTTGATACACCTTGAAGGAAGCATACCTGTGGCTTGTTGGTGAGCACAGCCCAGCTTTGTTCTGCTGCTGCATCTTAGCAGTAATTTATTGAATTTGTGGGTTCCTATGAGCTGTCCACTCATGGGCAACTGTGACCTATTTGCTACCTAAATATCACAGCAGAACATTCCTTGACTACCTAGAGTTTTGCTGGTATCGCGAGGCAGGCCCAGGGACGCCTAGGCTGCTGTTGACCTGATTACGTGACTCTATCCATGGCGGTCTTGGGATAACTCCATCTGTGATAACATACTTTTTTGACACAAATGTCTCTTGACACATGGTCATGATGTCCCCTTCCTTGTCCCTCATAAAACTCTGTCCCCCATTCCTGCCCCAGCCTCCGGACCCTATTCCTCCTACCGTTGTTGCGTGATCAGCTTTTAGTCGCCTGTATGATTTCAGTAAAATGGCACAAGAACTTCTGCTCAAGTAGCAGAGTCTTGCCTTGCAAACCTGCTCCACAACTGCTGTGTCCCTCATCGCGTTCCCGCCGCAAAGGGGCAGCAAAGTTCCTGTCACAACAGAATTCATTTGCCGATGACTCGAAGTTGACCTGGAGACTGAGTTCTCTGGATTAAAACTCATCTGGTCAAACTGAATAAGGACACAGTAGATGGTCCTTTTCAAAATGTCAGCTGAAGAAGGGCAGGATTGGGGAGACTTAAATTCTTAAAATGACAAATGAAAACAACCCTGAGATTTGAGTTGGAAAAATTCTTACTATTGATGGGAAGAAGCATAGTGTTGAGGTTAAGGCTGTGGCCTCAGAGTAAGGAGATGGAGGGGCCTCTTAGGCTCACCCTAATTGAACCATGTTGAGCTGCCACTTGTCACATCTCAAGCATCAGCTGCCTCTGCTAATGATAATTTCTACCTGCTGGTGGCATTGTGTGGTTAAATGAGTAAGTGTAAGAAACAGGCTTAGCATAGTCTCTGACACATATGTTAGGTGCTCAATAAACTATGGTTATGATTGCCACTTCAGGCTATGTTATTAAAGTACAACATTTAGGATCCAGGAAGGTGATGGTATATATACGTGAGCACACACACACACACACACACACACACACAGTGTAAGGGGCTTGTCACAGCCCAGAATATCTTCTGAAGAGAGATTGCAGTGAGAAGAGACTGACCTCTATGATCAGAGGAACTGGAGATCTTCAGTCCCTAGAAAGAGGGACAGGACCCAGTCTCTCTTAGCAACTATCTCCCACCCCTACTTGTAG